GTAAAGCGTAAAAGTAATGGCTATTTAAAAAAATAATGAACTCCAAAAAATTATCGATAAAGAATAATTCCTAAGGAGCAAACGATAATATTATTTTTAGCTAGACCGAAAATTAAAAGTTAAAACATAAATAAAAAAAATAAAAAAATTACCTTTCAGGCCTGCATACGTTCAAATTCCATGTTTCGTCTATTTCGAGCAGCGAGCATACCTTTAAATAATATTTTTGTAGATGGTATTTAATTTTTTGATAAGTAAAATTTGTTAACCTAATTGCTAAATTTTAAAAAAATTACCTTCTCCGCCGATTGCTTCACCACAATCCGGACAACTGACATTTAAAAAAGAAGATAAAAGGTACCGATAAGTACAAGGCTTCAACAAAAGTCATAATTGTCAAATGAATTACCTGCTCGTTTGGTTGGCATTTCCGCAATCTCCAATCGTATAAGGATGACCATTCGGACATTCATACCAATGCTAAAATTTTAAATTTGTTTCGAAATTTACCAAATGATAATTATGAAATAAATATAAAAATTTTGGAATAGATATTTTACCCCTGATCCCTGAAATTCAGTACTCATTGTTTTATGTATGTTCAGCTTTTCTTCATACGTTAAAGGTCTATCTTTCATAGCAGCAGAATGAAGATCCACAACTTCCAAAAGAATTTTATCGACTCTTGATTTGCATTCTTTTTCAAAATGTTCAACATTCATTTTAGGAAGAACTTCATCACAAATATGTATACATATTTTCTCAATTTCAGCACATTTATTCTTGACAGACTCTTGAATTATAGGGTTTACGATGCCTGTAGGGGGATACCTGAGTTTAAATCTCTCAGCTTTAACTTCAAACTCTGCCAACTCCAACGATGCCAGAACAAGATGACGACGATATTGGTTCTCTTTAGCTATAGTAATTATTGAATCAAGGTGTTTTCTAACGGTTTCGATAACATGACCACCAAATTTAATCCAATTTTTATTATAAGAAATGCGCTGAGTTATTGAATTTATTTCAACATTGGTTTCTCTTGGCAACTCTGGAATAATCCTAGAAACTTCGTGAAAGATTGCCTTTTGGATGTTAACTATGCAAAAAAATGCATCAAGAAACATGCGGACATCCACTTTAGGAGCAATTATCCCAACTTCAGCCAAAGTTTCCTGGAATTTATCACGTTGACGAGCGGGAGAGTCATAATTTGAAATATTCAAGGATTCAAAATTGCTGACGAGGTCATCCATATTAATTTTGGTTTTAGATTCATACCTATACATATAATATAAAGCGAAAATTTGTAAACAAATTGAATATTTTTCCTAAAATTTGAGAATTATTAACTTACAGTCGAGACACAGCAGCCTCATATGCAAGTTTATATGGTGGAGTCTTAGTCGCCAACATTAGTCTCATCAGTTTTCGATATATAGCTAAAAGTATTGATATATGTTTTTCCCATCTTTCTTCATGCGTCGTTGGAATATGATAATATTTTTCAAGCGATGTGTATTGCTCGGTTGGTATAACTTCTGGAATTGCTTTAAATTTAGATTCTCTTTCCATAATGTTCATTTCTTTGTTTTTTTGCATTTTTGGAGGTAATTTAATTTCCTCCAACAATCTCTTTCGCATACTTTCTAATTGAGCTGTAGCAGTCGTTGTTTTTTTAGTGTGTTCCTTCAATTGGATATCACATTTTATCAAAAATTTTTTGTTTTGTACATCCAAGACATGTTTCTTTGTTGCTCTTCCGTAACGATAAACATTCTTAATGGGAGCGCGGCATTGTGGACATTTTTTAGACTCTCCTAGATGCGAAGTAATTGACTTGACTTGGATCCAATTGTTGTCGCTGTCCATTTCATAATATTCTTTCATATCCATCCAATTATCAAGGCTTTCTGCTGTGTATACATGACCGCAATGTAAAACAACCATTCTTTCAAGAGTCCAATCAACTTCCGCAAATGTTTCTTGCATAATCAAATCGACAACTAATATTGGTAATCAAATTAGTAAAAAATAATTTTTTCACATAACAATAATCTAGCTCTATATAAAAACCTTGATTTTTGACGTTAACATCTGTAGTGCAATCTGCACAATACTTTTGTGGGGGGCATATTTCGCCTATAAATGATAATAAAAATTAATGGATCATATTAGTTTAAAATGTTTTGTTAATGGCAATATAAAGAATATCTTCACAATGATAGGCTTACCGCAAAGACCGAAACATTGATGCCCACACTTTAATAATTTTTCACATCGCAAATCGCATGGAAGTCGGATGCAAGGTACACCACATGGTAAATTACAAGCACCCTCGTGTTCACATTGCCATTCACATGCTATTAAATTTAACAAACTATTAAATAAATATTTAGATTCATTCTATGCAATTCGTAACTATTTCATTACCTTCAGCACATACGGAGCAAGGTTCAGAACAGACTTGTTTACATTTCGAATGTATGCAAGAAACATCACAGAAATTTTTACAAGGTTTGCACGGTCGACCTTCATGACATCCTTCTTTGCATATATGGCCTTAAGTTGACAAAATGATATATCTTAAAATAATATTCACATCTTTTTAATAAAATAAACAGAGGCAGAAATATTTATACCACAAAATAAGGTCCTATTGACGCGCATAAATACTAAATTAGCTTAGATAAGAAAATATTTAAGAGACTTAATTCTAATAAGTACCTTCCACATTTCTGTAAGCATTTTCCATGATGTGATCTAACAATTCGTCCATCACCGTCCAAAAGATCATTTGGATTTGCTTTCTTAGAAAACTTCTGGCATTCGAAGCATCTGGACATGCAGGAATGCCCACAAGGAAGATGTTTTTTACATTTTTCTGTGCATTCAAAATCATCAACTGACTCAAAGCACTAAATAATAATAATAATCAAGTATATAGGTCAGCAAAATTTAACAATAATGGTTGAAGTAAATGATCCTTTTTCATACCTCCATTAAATGCTCATGTTCACATTTAGGCAATTTCCTTCGCACTTTTTCGTGACAACGGAGCCTATCTTTATTTTTCTTATCGTTACACTATATAAAAGTTGAGAATAACGTCAAAATTAAATAGGTTCAAAATTTTAGATTTTTATATTTTCCAAACCTTAGCATTTTTATATTCGTGTCCACATGGCAATTCAATGTTTTCAACCGGGAATAAACATTTGCCACAATCCTCTCCGCACATTTTATTTAAGCAAGGATGTTGGCAATCGGAGTGCAATCTCATACAATCTTTTCTACAAAAAACGCCAACATGCTGTGGGTCATCCGAATGACATTTATATGGACCTATAATTATAATTAGTAGTGTACATTTGTATAAAAACAATAAATAAAGGTTTAAAAATAAACTCACATGTATGCCCGCATTTTAATTGTTGCTGGCCTATGAAATTTATCAAATAAAATTTAATATACAGTAGTTGATGTATAATAAAAAATGTAATGATAAATAAACCTACATGGCTCGAAGCAACCACCATCAGGGGAAATTTCACTGAATTGTACGGCTTCATATATGGTGTTCTTATAATCCGGATGTTGTGCACATACAATCGGAAAGCCTGGACCGATTTGACCACGTTCGTGTAAAATTAGCAAAACTCTTTTCCAAAAATCTGAATACTTTTCCATTAATTCTGCATTCCCCAGAAGATACATTCCATGTTTTGCACGAGATAAGAGAACGTTAGAACGATTTCTTGACTTCAAAAATCCAATATTCCCACGATCCAAATTTTGGCAATTACGGACAAGTGATACAATCACTATATCAGCTTCTTCTCCTTGAAAATTATCAACTGTACGAAGAATAACCTATTTTTAATTCAAAGATTAAATTTTGTATAATCAAAAATATCACATCTTAATACAGTAACATAATATTGCCAATTACTTGTTGAGACAATTTCTTTTCAGAAGCAGTAGTGAAAGTCGTTGACCCCCCATCTGTATTTTCATTTTCAGCGTCCATTCCTTCTTCCATATTAGTAATCATTTGATCATCACGTTCGTCGATTACAACAACAAATGATTTTTGCAAAGCGTCCCTTATTTTAATAAGTTGCCCGAGGTATGGTGTTAACACAGCAATTTGACTTGGTTTATTGTAACCATTACGTACAAAGTACTAAATTAATAGTCAAAACATGAATGGTTTGTAATTCTTAATATATATTAATAAGAACTGTCAAAAATACAAATTAATCAATTACCTTAACAAGCTCAACTACCATTTCAACCTCAAATGTATTTGAATGTGAATTTAATACAAAATCATTTTCTCCTGAATCTTCAGGATGACGATGATCCATAAAATAAACATTTCTCTGAGCACCGCGTACGTCTGGGTAACTAACAGTTTTTTCATCATCAATAAGTTTATTATAGAGTGTGAACCGAATTAAATCAGAAACTTCTTTTCTCATTCGTCTTTGCGTGTGTAATTGCGATTTCTCTAGACGCATTGTCTGATCACCATTAACAAGACGTTCAAAAAGACTTTTGTCAAGGGCATAGTTAATTCCGATTTTCGAATCACATGTTAAAGAGTATGTAGAGCAATGAGGGCGGAGCTAAAAATTTATATACGTATAAATATACATATATGTAACTCATAATAAATGATATATCAAGAAAAAATTTATTCATGCCTGATTATGGTCACCGATAAGGATCAATTGTTGAGTAGCTGGAGTTAGTGCACTCAAAATATGTGCCTCTAAGACCTCACCCGCTTCTTCACAAATAATTATACGTGGTCCTATAATAATTCATACAAGCCACAATTTAAGATCCATTCACGTATATATTGAAATCCATTTTGACATCTTACCAATAGAGCGAATTAAATTTTGAAATTTGGCTGCACCATTGGTTGTCATTCCAATTACATCACAATCTCGAAGAATCTGACGACGACCTTCATTGTAAATTTCTTCAACTTCCTTTGTTTTCTCTCCAAATTGCTCTTGAATTTTATCAAGCTCATCAAAAGACTCAGACTGAATTTCCTCTTTCCAAAATGAGTACAAAGTTGCTCTTTCGGCATTAGACATTTGCCAAACTTTGGGATCAAGTTTGAGCTCTTCTAAAGATCGATCGCTTGTAGGTCTTATCCAAGAAAGAAGCCAATTTTGTTCGTAACTAACATAAACATCATCATCATCATCTTCTTCTTCATCTTCAGCATAAAGTTCTTCATCTTCACCAACGTTTTCAAGAATCTCATATGTATTATCACGCGTATTATCATTTTTCTTTTTTTGATTCTTAGCATTATTATCTCTCAAGTTATCAGCCCACATCTGTGCAAGATGCAAGTCATTTCCATCAACCCATTGACGAAATATTGATCGCTTTTTTTTTCTTTTATGTTTCGCTTGCTTCCATTCACCATCATTATCATCATCTTCAACTGTGTTTTCAAATAAAAAATCTGGTATATCTGGATTCTGGAAGCTTTTAAAATGATCTGGGTATTCCACTTTCAAATATAAAGTAACTTCATTCCAGTCTAACACTCCATTAGTTAAATTATTTTGTAGCCTTTCTGCCTCTTTTTGAATTTCTTCAAGTTCCTTATATCCTTGAGCCAACAACCACCCTTGATGTTTAGAACGAGCACGATTCCGACATATCTCTTCTAGGTTAAAACCTCTAATAATATCGGATTTTGATCGGCTACCCAACCGTACAATATTCTGGATTCCAACCTTCAATAAATTCTAAAAGTGTTATAATAATCGTATCAGATATTAATATTCGTAATTTTCTAACACCACTTCAATATAGTTATTAATTACCTCAAGGAACTGATCTAACGCGTGGTTAGTAAAACAAATTGTTAATATTGGTCCTATATTTGTAGTTTTCCGATTCGCTAACAGCACTCTCATTAATTCGACACCAACGAAAGTTTTCCCAGTTCCAGGAGGTCCTATTAATTTTATCATCATTTTTTGCATAAACATATAAACGTACATCACAGAACACATCGATGCATAATGTATAATAAAAAACAAACCTTCAATCAATGCAATTTCTCGGCATAAAGAATATACAAGAGATTGCGCTGCATAAAGGAAATTATAAAAAAAAAAACATTGGTAATAATCCAATAATTCTTAAATAGATCATAAATCCTTATATAATACCTTGACTTTCGTCAAGTCTACTTAATTCTTTAAGATTTTGAATAACAGCTTTATGAGAAGATGTGTCAACAACGTTTAGTATAAGTTGTTTAGTTTTATCTTCAAGAATCACAGACAAATCAAATTCGAATCCAGGTGCTCGAGCGTATGTAGGTGGATCAACGAAAGCATACGAAGAATTTTCGATTACTTGTGGTGCCAAATATTTTTCAAAAGGAAGATTCGAAGATGAAGTTTGTTGTAGAGTTTTTAAAATATGGAAATATGATTCAAAATACTATAGGATCATTAAAATTGAAATGTTTTTTTTTTTTAAAAAAAAAAATAAAAGAGTATATACAATTGACTTTTAAAAACTAAGAACTTAAATTCATACCACTCCAGTAGATTCGACCATAAAACATCCTTTTGTCGGGTTATTTGAATTTTTTTTCATTATTTCTTTCAAAGCAATCATATAAATTGATGTTTTAATAAAACTGATATCAATCACTGCTGTATGTTGCTTTAGCGCTAACAAATTTTCGTCACGAAGTGACACGGTTCCAAAGAATAAAGAAAATTGAGGGTCATTGTCGGATGACTCATTTTTGGATGGCCAAAGCAGACAAACCAAACTTCCATTCATGAGTTTTCTACTTTTGGTCCGATACTGCACTCGACTTTGCTTATTTTCGGAATAGCGTCGCATTGGGGGTTGGGTAAATTCCATTCTGCAAGAAAAGCCACGCCTTTTATCAACTCTTATTTCAGAAAATTGAACATTGGCGTATACATTTAAGTCGCTTCCATTCGTTCCATCTATGCTATTATCATACTTGTGCCTCCCTCCACGTTCCCGTAATTTTTTAATTTTTGCATTATTTTCAGATGATTTTAAAAATTCAATGAAACTTTGAAAAAAATGAAGGTAAATTTTTTTAATTTAGTTCAATGCTGAAATTTAATCGAACACATACATATATATTAATTTTTTAAAAAAAAGAAAAAAAAAACTTACTTTACAATGCCAAGACGAATAGGACACATCATATCTTCTCTAAGAAGACGAAATTGTGTATCAAGAAGGCGTTGAGAACCT